AGTGTTTCTGCCAGTCACAGCCACACAATCTACGGGGCTGTTGAGTTCTAGTGAGCCCTCACAGCTATCTGTATAATCTGAGAATCATCTCTATACTTCACTTTGTCAGAATTAAAAACAAAGCAGGTTGGACATAGCTGAGTAGTCACACTGTTTACTCGAACTTATAATCACCTATCTTTAAACACTGGCATCTTGTGATACCATGTCCCCATTTGTTACTGATAAACAGATAAAGCTTTCCTCTAAATATTTCAGGTTTCTACATGTCTACATTGGATGTGCACCGTGATTCATTTTTATGGCATCTTAGTGCCTATTTCATGTGGTCACTGTTCACAAGACCAGGGGAACCAAGCAAACTGTAATCCGTGTGATCCCAGCACTCCAGAGGCAGGAAGATCTCAAGCTCCATCTCAAGGCAAGCCTGGGTCATAGATTTGTCTTTGTTAGTTTCTGGCAACTTAATCACGTGGGGTGAGGAACCTCTACTAAGACAATGCTTTCATCGAGAGGCTACAGACAAGTCTGTGGGGGGGGGGATGTTTTTGTTTCTTTTCAAATATTTATTTATGTGTATTTGGCATGAAGGTGTCAGATTCCGTGGGACTGGAGTTATAGATAGTTGTGAGCTGCCATGTGAGTGCTGGGAATTGAACCCAGGTCCTCTGTAAGAGCAACTAGTGCTCTTAACCACTGAGTCATCTCTCCAGCCCCAATCTCCAGCGTTTTCTTGATTGAAGCATGAGGGACCACTGTGGGTAGTGCCATCCCTGAGAAAAACAGACTGAGCAAGCATGAGGAACAAGCCAGTAAGCAGTGTTCCTTAGGGTCTCTGCCCTCACTTCCCTGATAAGGACAATCTTTATCACGGCAATAATGAAGCCAACTAAGACTCAGTCTCAAAAATGGCCTTAAAGAGCACGAGTGAGCTCAACAGGGCTATTTAGGGTAAGAAGGGAAAGGGATCTAGACAGAACTGAAAGGAGGTAGGATCGTAAGCAATGGGATCAAATTCCCATTTGTCCAGACAGCATAGAAGTCCATGGTTTTGAAGATTGGCCAGTATATAGTCAGTCATTTGGAGCTCAGTTTTGATGACTGTGGCCACATAAATACCCTGATATCTTATCTGGCAATAAATAAAGACGTATTCATAAAATAAATACATTAAAGATAAAAATTCAAAAGCAAATATATGTATGTTACTGAAATAATTATATTGTGGTTTATTTACAAGTGAGAGCAAGAACACATTGAGCAGTATTTCAGAAGTCGAAAAAAGGGCAACATTATCAGGAGCAAACACTCTAGTGCTGGGCGGTGGCGCACGCCTTGACCTAGCACTTGGGAGGCAGAGGCAGGCGGATCTCTGATTTCAGTGCCAGCCTGGTCTACAGAGGGAGTTCCAGGATGGCGAGTGATACACACAGAAATCCTGTTTTTAAAAAGAAAAAAAAAAAAAACAAAACCAACCAACCAATCAAACAAAAAAACAAAACAAAAAAAAGAACTAAATACATAGCCTTTATTTCTTCCAGATCAGAGATTCTGGGTTTAATCATATAAAGATGAGGAATCAAGTTTAGCAACCTAAAAATATTTACTTATTAAAACTATATTAACACTTTAGTAAACTATACAAAAAGATGAGACAAACATGTACATTTATAGAACTGCATTATCAGTCAGGCCAGATCCTGCAGAGGGAATTCCCAGCATGACCTCATCCATCTGTGAGGACACAGAACAGTCCTTGTTTTAGACACACACCATCTTGTCCTGCATGAGCTGCTCTTCTCGTCGTGGCTTCCTTCTACACACACGTGTCTAGTTGTCTGCTTCTTAGAGCAGACGTTTACCTAAAGAAGGGTCAAACAATTAGCTCATGCTTATTACACTGGAACACACACACACACACTCTCGTCAACATGAAATTCCTGAGGGGTAGGAAGAATGAAGGGGGCTGGCAGCCAGGGAAGTCCAAAGGAAAGGATGGGAGAAAACAAAACAAAATAAAACAAAACCAAATCTTTTCTCAACTGATATTTTGATAATAAAGTCAATGAATTTTCAAGAATTAATGTTGTAGAATATTATTTTAAGATGTGTTACATTTGTTTATGCTGTAGAACTTTTTGTTTTAATGATGCAAAGATGTGTTGCATTCTTTTATGTTGCATTTGTTTAACTCTGGAAGGTGTGTTACTTTGCCTGTCCAAAACACCTGATTGGTCTTATAAAGAGCTGAATGGCTGTCCGTCAGTGGTGGCGCATACTTTTAATCCCAGCACTCAAGAGGCAGAGGCAGATGGATTTTGCTGCGTTCAAGGCCAGCCTAGTCTACAGAGCGAGTTCCAGATCAGGCTCCAAAGCTACAGAGAAACCTGTCTTGAAGAACCAAAAACCAAACCAAAACAAAGAAAAGGCTGAATAACCAATGGCAAGGCAGTAGAAAGGATAGGCGGGGTCGGCAGGCAGAGAGAATAAATAAAAGGAGAAAAAGAGATCAAGGAGCAGAAGAAGGAGAAGGACTCAAGGGGTCAGTCACCCAGCCACACAGCAAATGCAGAATAAGAAGGAAAGAAAAGATAAACAGAAAATGGAGAAAGGTAAAAGCCCAGGGGCAAAAGATATATGGGATAATTTAAGTTAAAAAAAAAAAAGTTGGCAAGAAATAAGCCAAGCTAAAGCCTGGCAGTGGGCATTCATAAGAAAGAAAAAGTCTCTGTGTATTTATTTCGGAGCTGGGTGCCGGGCCCCCTAAAGAATAAAAGACAAATAACTACAAATTAAGACATATCTTTCTAAATAATAAAATACGTATAAAATATGCAACTTCTATCTAGAGAGATAGCTTGGCAGCTGAGAGCATTTGCTGCTCTTGCAAAGAACAAGAGTTGGATGCTCAGCACCCATTTTGGGCGGCTTACAGAGACCGGTAATTCCTGTTCCAGGACTCAGCTCTCTTTTCTGATCTCCATGGGCACCCACTCACAAATGTGCATACATACACACAGGCAGATAAACACACACACACAACTAAAAACAAAATCCTAGAACTCCAATTGCAGGGGATCCAGCGCCCTCTTCTGGCCTTCTCTGGTATCACGCACATAAGCAATGCACTTACATGTAGTCAAAATAAACATAAAATAAAAATAAACGTAAAACAAACAAAAAACAAAACCAAAAAAATCCCTCTACAACTTCTGTTTTCCTGAACAAAATATTCCTAAGGAGGCATTTTCAAATAAAGTCCTGCAAAAATAATTTTAGATAGTTACCTTCCTCATCCACCACCCATTGGAGGAGGGCTAGGGCCTTGAAGATGATTGATTCGACCCATTCTTCTTCGTGGAGGGTTTCCTGGTGGCCTAATAAAAGAGAAATATTTACTGTTTGGTAAATCCAGCTTCATTCAGTTGGTTCCTCTTTTTATAGTGTCTTGCCTATATGTAGTCCTGCCTAGCCCATCATTTGCAATAAAGCCCAGGTTAGCCTTGAACTCAGATCCTGTACGCCTCTGCCTCCCAAGAGCTGGGATTAAAGGCGTGCACCTCCACACCTGGTCAACCGGTTCCTTTCACTAAGCACGAGACTACACCCTTTTCAATTAAACACAGGAAAATGAGCACGGTAGTCTCTAAGTGCCATCTCAGCATCTGCGAGGCTGAGGCAGGAAAATTATCAGAGGTTAAAGGCCAGCCTAGGAAATGTAGCCAGGAGCAGGCTATAAAGAAAGCCCTACCTCAAAACACAAAAGGTTCACAACCATGTTAAAACGGTAGGTAATCTTGGCAGCCAACTTGACACACTTGGAAGATGGAGTGCCAGCTGAGGAACTATCCCCATCAGACTGGCCCACAGGGCATGCTGATGGTGCATTTGATTGCTGATTGCTAACAGCCCACTGTGGATGGTGCCCTTCTGGAACAGGTACCCAGATATAAGGTAGCTAAGCAAGCCAGAGGAAGCAAGTCAGAAACGAGCCTTTCTCCACGGTCTCTGCTTCAATACCTGCTTTGACCTCCCGGATGAACCTGAAATAAACTTTCCCTGCTCAAGGTGCTGTGATCAATGCTTTCTTTCCCCCAGCAACGGAGAAGTGAACTCTAAGTCAGGAATCAAAACTTCAAACATTTAGGATGAGACACAACGCCAGGGAAGACACCAGGGAAGACGGCTGCTAAGTAAAGCCACGCCCATCCCAGCGCCACGCCCCATCCCCACTGCAAGGGCTGGCGGCTGCACGTTGAGACCGCCCCTGAAGTCTCTCGATCCCTAGGGTGGCCATCAGTTTTCAGCCTCTACTTTTGGTTTTCCATGGTTATGTTTAAAATGTATCCTAGTTCGGCCAGCTTGGCTCTGCTGGTCACAAGAGGCAACTTGACTTTTAATCCATAGTAACTCGTTGATTTTGTGAAATAGGATTTAGCGTTTTAATTTCTCAAAGGCTAACTGTCTAAAAAGGAGAAACACCCATCAGCAAGAGAGGCCACACGCACCCCCTTCCATCATCGTATCTGGAGCCGGACGAGCTTCCATAGCCTCTTCTCTTCTTCACATCTTGCTGAAGCAGAGTTTTGAAACTGAAACAAGGGGCAGAAACAACAGAGGTATCACTTTCCACACCATTGTCAAGTATATTACCATGACTGTAATTATCATCTCCGGGAGAGGAGACTAACCCAACTTATTAGCTCAAGCCTACACTTCCTGCTGGCCATATCTAGCTGGACAACATCCAGCTAAGTATGTCTAAAACAGGAAGAGCCATGAGCGATGCCAAAGCCACTGTCCCCCACACCTCTTGTCTGCTAGCAACTCCCGTAGCAGCCTGAAACCAGAGTCCCCACTGCTTTCATCCTTCCGGTTAGGTTTCAACAGAATCTATTTTTTCAGTGGTTTATAGCCATCACCCCCACTGACTTGGTCTCTGGGTTTCCCAGTATCTTACAGTCACCAAGACTGCAATCCCTATCAACAGCCTACCTGATTCCTCCCCACAAAGGCGTGTTTTTGGTTCCTTGTCCATGAACACGTAAGAGTCGGAGGCAAAGAAATGTGGATTTGCAGAGATCTGGGACCTGCTTGCTCCCCGCAGGCTCCGGATCAGCTGTCCCACAGAGAAGCAGAAAAAAAAAAAAAAAAAAAAAAAAACAGCCTACCTGAAATCTCCCAGAGGAGGGAAGAGATGAAGACATTGAGTTTCTCAGAATACCAAAAACTGCAGCTTTCTTTCTGTTGGTTTCTTCCTCCTCCTCCTCCTTTCTAAAGACAAGGTCTTACTATGTGCACAGCCCTGGCTGGCCTAGATTCTCTATGGAGACTAGGTTGGGCTTGAGCACTGCCTGTCTCTGCCTCCTGAATGCTGAGATTAAAAGTGTGTGCCACCACACCTAGCCCAGTTTTCTAAAAGTGCTAACTAAGACAAAACAGCAAAGAATTAGGTTAGGTGAGATTTCTAAAAGCCATTGTGCTGGTAAATTCAAGGTAGGGTCTTATCTTGTCCCTTCTCGGGTGACTTTCCCTGATGCACACCTTGACACTCACCTCGCCATTCCCTGTAATGGGAAAACAGTTACTGATCTTATGCGTGCCTTAGTTAGGGTTCCTGTGGCTGTGATGAAACACCATGATCAAAAGCAAACCGGGCAGGCGAGGGTTTATTTGGCTTACACTTCTACATCACAGTCCATCACTGAAAGAAATCAGGAGAGGAACTCAAGCAGGGCAGGAATCCGGAGCTGATGCCCAGGCCATGGCAGGGTGCTGCTTACTTAGCCTGTTTTCTTATAGAACCTGGGATGTCCCCATCCACAGTGGGCTGGGCCCTCCCACATGATCATCAATTAAGAAAATGCCCAGGCCGGGCGATGGTGGCGCAAGCCTTTAGTCCCAGCATTCGGAAGGCAGAGGCAGGCGGATCTCTGTGAGTTCGAGACCAGCCTGGTCTACAGAGCTAGTTCCAGGACACGCTCCAAAGCCACAGAGAAACCCTGTCTCGAAAAAACAAAACAAACAAACAAAAAAAAAAAAAAAAAAAGAAAAAAGAAAATACCCAACAGGCCTGCCTATAGCCCAATCTTACGGAGGCATTTTCTCAATCGATAACTTTCAGATGACTCCGGCTTGTGTCAAGTAGACATAAAACCAGCCAGCACAGCATTATATGAAGAGAGAGAGGCTATTCTCCCACACCTGCTCCTTACAACTTTGTAACCACGAGACAAACTCAGGATAAAAAAGACAGCCCGTAAAAGACAAAAGGCAAAACAGAAAAATAACCCTTAAATAAGGAACTGCTTGACATGACTGGCCAGTTTAAATGTCTCTACTATTATTGACCTCTAATCTTTCATTAAGAGTTCAGACCCAGGAGTGTGGTACAGTCCTAGAATTTCAATATTTACGAGGGTAAGGCAGGAAGATTACAATGAATTCTAGGCCAACTCAGACTCTCTATGTAACACTAAACCAGTTATTCAGGGCTATATAGTAGCACTTGGTCTCAAAAGGCAAAACTAAACCAAACCAAACCAAACCAAACAAACAAACAAAAAAAAACCCAAACCAAAAAGCAATCTGACAGCAGAATGGATGGATCTGGCTATAAGCTGACAAGGTTACCACAGAGGTTCAGGCACAGTCGAACTCACTAACTCAACATGATATTTAGAATCATAAGAAGCCTTAATTCTACTTTGTAAAGCTATTTAAATTAGTCCTTCGCTTCTCTGCGCAGCGGACCTGTGAATACAGAGACTCGCGGCTGGTCTACGGCACGTTCAGCCACGAGTGGGTATCTGTATCACACACTTCCTCCCAAAGCTCGGGGAACAACATGGAAAAGGGGGAGAAGAGTCTAAGTGCCAGAGATTGGAAGAACTGGGACAAAGCATGTCTTTTACACATTTTGACACATTTTGCACCTATGAATTCTCCAAACCTGTGGGTGCTTGCGTACCCCTCATAGGATCAAGCCAGGCAACAGTGGAGCATGGATGTGGAGAGGGCACATGAGCCCCTACTCCTAACTGAAGAGCTTGTGACCTCTGATGATTGCTAACGGGAGGGAGAGTTGTTTCCTTTGGGGGTGTGGTCCCAGACAGTGTTCCTGGGGATGGGCCCACACCCATTTGGGCAGCAGTAAATATACTTGTGGGTCATAAAAATAAGAGAAGGAAGGGAACAAAGGTAGGAGGGGACATGAATGGCATGGGGGGTGGAGAGGAAAAAAGGGGATGAATACCATCAAAATACACTGCATACATATATGAAATGTTTAAAGATAACCAATCATCGTAATATAATATAATTTGATCTGCTTAAGTATAAATACAACTAACTAAATGTTTTTATACTTACAAAAAAACCACAAATTCTGCTATTCCCCAGAAGAAATCTGTTATAAAAGACAACCTCCATGGGGACTGATTCCGGCTGTCCAACACTTGTCCTAGAGAGAGAATAATAATAATAAAAAAAATAGAGTAAGTGCCACAAGCCCACAACTTGGCATTGCATTTAATCAATAAGCTCAGGTTTTAATTTGCCCACTGTTTCAAAATAGTCAACATGAGAGGTCCGTTATGAGTGAAGTGAAATTCTAAGATCTAGAGTCATCACTTGGGCGGTATTCTGAGATCTAGAGTCATCCCTTTGGCAGTATATCTGCAGCCATTTACCATCTTTGAGTGCACAGTTGTATAAGCACGTCCACAAACATCACACCGCATACTTCCAAAACTACTTGGTTGTCCCCAGCTGAAATTCTACCCCTTCAACTTTGGCTTCCATGACTTCTTCCCTGTAACCCTTGGAAACCACTGGTGTAGGAGGGTCTTCTATGTGTTACTTTGATTGGTTAAATAAAGAGACTGCCTTGGCCTAGTTGATAGGGTGAACTCAGGTAGGTGGGGAAGACAGAACAGATTTCTGGGAGGAAGAAGGCAGTGTGGCAGACGCCATGACTCTCCTCTCCCAGATGGACACTGGTTAGACTCATGCCAGTAAGCCACAGTCAAGTGGCGATACACATTAATGGAGATGAGTTAAACGAATATGTAAGAGTTAGCCAATAAGAGGTTAGAACTAATAGGCCAGGCAGTGATTTAATTAATACATATTTCCATGTGATTATTTTGGGCATAAGCTAGCCGGGTAGCCGGGACGACAAGCAGCCTGTCGCACAAGTGTAAGCCAGTCAGGCAGCGGGCACAGCCCGCTTCCCTCTACAACAAACCACCAATCTTTTTTTTTTTTTTTGCCTCTGTAAATTACTGTAGAATCTCACAAAAGGAATTAAACCACGTCCATCTTTTGTGATCAGCTTGTTTCACTTAGCTTAATTTAGGGTTTAGCCATATGACAGCCAAATCAAAATTTCTTTCTGTTAAAAAGATTGGCCAATATTCCATTATATATATACACATACATACTTATAATCCATTCACCTGCCAAAGGACATTTCAGTATTCTATTATGAATCATGTCACTATGAACATAAGTATACAAAACATCTTTTTTTCCCAAGAATTTTCAAGAAAATCAATGGGTTGAATGAGATCCTTACGCTGCCTCCACTTCTTTTGAGATAGAGCCCCACTATGTAGCCCTGGGTCCTGGGGGAATTAAAGGCACTGCCCTCTATGGCTAACTAGTGTGGCTAGCTCTGCACTCTGATCTTCGGGCAAGCTTTCTTTGTTACAGCCCAAGCAAAGTATCACTACACCCCTATACTCTGGAGGCAGAGGCAGGCACATCTCTTGAGTTTAAGGCTACCTAGGGGTTAAAGGTGTGCACCAACACAAGTGACAACATCTACTTTCTTAAAGGTGTCCAGAGAATTTCTCTTCCCACTTCTAAGATCTCTCGCCTGTACAAAAGGTTATTTAGATACACAGACCTTTAGAGTAACTATTTTGATAAAATTCTTTACAGAGAGTCTATATGGTCCAAGCACTGACAGGAAGTTAAAATACCCAGCATTTTCTGTAAAACTGTGCTCTTGAGTCAAATAACAGACTCTTCTTTATCACAAGTAAAACTGAATTCATATGATAAAAGCTAGTTTCAGGCTTGTACATCAGGAAGAATATTCTGGTCGGGGAACAGCAGCACATGAAACACCTGTCTTCTCCATTATCTGACGGGCTCTGCCAGTTTCCCCCACCCCTCTTTCGGGGCTTATTTCTCCCTCCTTTACCAGCTTCTTCATTCGTTCACTTGGATTTAATCTCAGTGAAGCAGAGAAGAAAAGGGCGAGAAAATCAAAGGGTGAGTGCTGGGATAAGAGGCATCATCTGGCGTAAGAATCATCTATGAAGCACTGATACATTAGTCCTACGAAGATGGATCCAGCTGGAGCCCATCAATTATCCCCTTGCCATTCTAAATAACTACCTGCATATCTGCCACTCCACACGGCTCTTCGCACTCTCTCCTAAATTCTAAAGTGCACCCTGCCATCAGAATCCTCCTGGATCCCTTAATCTCTGGACATACACATTTGAATCAAATAAAACCACACCTACTTCCAGGGACGCAAGAGAGGCTTCTAGGATTGCACCAAGGATTTCCACCTACATCAAGCAGGTTCTGGCACTGAAGTGGCCCGGACATGCGTTATCTCTTCTAAGTTTCTTTGTGATTATCTCAGATTTTCTATTTAATTAGAGACTCCCCCCCCCCCCAAGTTCTTTCAAACTGGGGCAAAACCTTGAGTTTGGAACTAGCTACGTCTTAGGGGAGGAAACCTATCAAAACTTTTATTTTGCCTGACGTGGGGGTGCGATCTTTTAATTCCAGCACTCAGAAGACAGGTAGGAGGATCTCTACCTGACATACACAGTGAGTCCAGGGCAGACAAAACTACAAAAAAATCCTGTCTCAAAATTTATTATTCATGTTCGTGCTAGTTCTGCCTTATTGTCGTCGCTGTTGCTATTATTTTACACATTATTGAGTCAGCCTGAGTTCGAATTCGACTGAAGCCATACACTCCCTTTGTGATCGTGAGGGTGCGTCTCAGCCTGCATCCGAAAACCTGGGATAGTAAAATTCTATCGGAACAGGACAGTTAAAGAGATGAATGAGGTCGCAGAGAATGCTGCCACACTGGCCCCAA